GAAAAAGGCCGGTGTGAGAAGATGCCCATCAGAGCAGTAAAAAGGTATACATACCCCCTTGGGGGGAGCTTTTTGATGGTTGTATAATTAAATAAAATAAAACAGAGGAGCTAAGACTCACAGGGGGCCCTTGGCCTAATTAATATGCTTTTTTTAAAAAAAAAATGAAATTGCATGGTTGAATTTCAGGGTTTGAATTCTTGGGGGTGGGGCTCTGAGAATTGCAGACAGGAAATAAAAGATGGATCTTAAAAAAAAAAATACAGAAATTTAGAAGATAAAATAATGGGATTGGAAGGGTCCTTGGTGGTCTTCTAGTCTGACCCCTGTTCAAGCAGGGAAACCTAGCCGTGGACTTACAAACAGTCCATTTAGTGACTGTCCGGAAACTACAAAGGCGCTGAAAAAAAGTGACTTCTGACCATTTTTCACACTTATGATCTTTGCAGCAACCGCCGCAGTCACGTGATCAAAATTCGGACAGAATAGAATAACAAGAGTTAGAAGGGACCTTAGAGGTCTTCTAGTCCAGCCCCCGTCCTTTTCATCAGACTAGACACACCCAATTCCTGCTAACTGTTCTTTTAGCCTCCAGTCCCCTAATCATCTTTGTGGCTCTTCTCTGCACTCTTTCTAGATCAGGGGTCTCCAAACTTGGCAACTTTAAGACTTGTGGACTTCCAACTCCCTGGGAGTTGGAAGTCCACAAGTCTTAATAGTTGCCAAGTTTGGAGACCTCTGTCCTAGATGCTTGGCAGCAGGTTCCTATTTATGACGGTCGAGGACTAACTGCAAAGCTAGCAACAGAACGGAAAAATCCAAGTTAGCAACTTTAGCAGAGGTGCTCAATTCGGGGGTTCCCTTCCCTGTACCCCACAAGTCACTGCCACTATCTTGCTTTCTAAGCAAATTTACCTAACCGGATAGAAAAAATAGGATTTGTTGACCTCCCCAGACGCGCCAAATCCTCTCAGGTGCCTCTCTGGCGTTCATCCCTTTGTGTGCTGCTATCAATTAAGATTAACAACAGCCTTTATCCCTGCCTGCCAAGAATATTGCCGTACATCCCATCATCTTGCACGGGAATTTTACCACGAGAAGCCACGGAGGCGGTCAGGTTAAGAAGAAAAGGTTCTACTTAGTTCACCTGGAACAGCAAGGGAAGAAAAAAAAACCCCCACCACAAATCCTGCAACAAATGGGGAATCTATCTATCATCTGCAAAAGACCCCTCATGCATCATCACAAAATCTCCAGAACCATAAAGCCTACAAACTTGAAATTTGGCACGTATGTTCCTCTTGGCTTCTAGGGGCTCACTAAGAAAGGATTTTTCAGAACGACCATCAGAGCATTAGTATTACATATATTATTATTATTAACACGCTCTGATGCTAAGGAGTTCTACTCCCCCTCCCCACCTGAAAAGAAATCTGTTCCAAATGCACAACACAAGCAGAGGAGTTTCAGTTTCATAGCAGCAATCAACTTTAGTACAGAAGAGTTGAGCTAAGCCACGCCCAGGCTCCTAGCTGTCTCCTTCTTGCTCACACAGGAAATACTGCTTCAGTTTCCAAACAGCCCTCAACTCTCTCACACGCTGACAGGATGCTAGCCATGGTGAATATCGATGGATGGTGGTAGGCAGAGGCACAATTTTTCCCCCTTATTTTCCTCCCCCAAAACTAAGCCCAACCACATAGTTTCGTAGCGAAGCATGGGTATCCAGCTAGTAAATCATAAAAAACGTGAACGGTTTTATTTTCAGACGGAATTCTGCTTTTCGCATCTCCCTGATACGAAGCAAAAGACCGCAAAGTTTCAAAATTCCCACTGCTATCACTACACTTCCCTTCCTCCTTCTCCTCTGCTGAGAGACCCATAATTCTGTTCCACTTCTCTGTTTCCCAGCTGGGCATTTGAACAAATTATAGACCCAGAGGATGGTGGGGTGGGGGCGTTTTTGAGGAGGGGGGATTTCCCCTCGTTTCCCTATGCTTCCCTTCCGTGCGTTGCCAATTTCGGGACAAATTACTGGAGCGGAGACTGCATTAAGGTCTCTTTCCTTTTACTCTGGAGTAGGAGGAGGAAGGCTTGAAGGGGCGAACCAACATCTGGATGCGCGAAGGATTACAGAAGTCGGTTCTACTTGCGGAAGCAGAAGCCAGCCGGACGAACGAAAATATTGAATCACTGGACTGGAAGGACAGAGTGGATAATTCAATTGAGCCTCCCTGCTCACCCCTCGCCCCCGAGCAGATTTTTTTTTATTACCCAGTCAATGCTGGGGGACCGTTTTTAACTCTGCACCTCCCTCCTCTCTGGAAATTTGTTGCGATCTTTGACACAAACTGTCCTGCCACCCCAAAAAATAATAACAACAACAACTGTGGTCTACAAGAGGGCTAAAAAATTAGGCTGCGAGAATCCCACCAACCACCAGCAGAGGGCAGCTGAGAGGTGGCATTTCCTGTGCCTTTGTCTCTCTCTCTCTCTCCTGCCCTCTAATGGTGACGTAGGTTTTCACAACACGAGAGAAAAAGCAAATCCCTTCCTACTGGGTGGGTAAGGGTGATCTTAACCACACACTGCCTTACTCCATGATTAAGAGATGTCGGTAATACCTCCCGGGTCCCTGGTGGGCCAAGGCTGAGTGAGAAGCAGCTAAGTGTTGCATCAGAGATCTTAAGAACACCTCAATCATTGACAGCCGCTCTGAGAGAGCAAAATCGATGCAGCAATTAGATTTTATCAGCATCCTCTCTCTCACCCTCTCTCTCTCTCTCTCTGTCTCTCTCTCACTCTCTCTCTCTCTCAAATCTCTCTCCAGCCCCTTCCTCTTTTCCATGAGCTCACGAGGCCACATTATAACTGGGCTGGGGGTACATTCTGGCCTCAAGGAGACCATTTTCCATTTGCAGGCTGGGGTTTCTTTTGGGGAGGGCGGGGGGGGGGGGGGGGGGGGGGGGGGGGGGAGGAAGAGGCAGGAAGGGTGCAGGCTCCTCAAAAAACAGATGGTTAAAAATTTCGGCAGCAAAGGGACAGAACAGAGGCTGCAAACTCCAAACAGCGGTGGTCTCTCCAGTGGTGGGATTCACCGGTTCGCACCAATTCGGGAGAACCGGTTGTTAACTTTTCCCGTTTGGAGAACCGGTTGTTGGAAGAAATCATTAGGGCAGAGAACTGTTGGTTCAATTCTTTGAATCCCACCCCTGGGCTCTCTGGATTGAACCCCTGTCCCTCTGCCCAATAATTAAAAACTAAAATGAGTAGAGGACGGACGCCACGCCTCTGTATGCGTTTCGGGGTTTGGTAAAGTTTGCCGACAGGCACCCAAGGAAACCAAACAGACCTTGATTCAGCTTTGAGCATATGAGCAGAATGCGATTGGGTTAAAAAATGGGTTCTCCTTACACAATTTGGGAAAGGGGGGAAAGCGGGGGGAAGAGGGCAGTGGGTGGGATTCAAAAAAATTTAACAACCGGTTCTCTGCCCTTGCGATGACCCAAAGGGGCGTGGCAGAAAAGCAACAAAGTCACAAAAGTAGGTAAAGTCCCTTTAATTCCTCCAACCTGGCCCCCAATGTCCAGTTATCATCGGCTGGAGAAAAAAAACTCTCCCAAGAACAGTGTTTAAAGGGCAGAAATTCAGTCCGAACCCAAAGTACGTGTAGATTGATTATAAATAAAAACCAACACAAACCACTTGCTGCAGCAATTAACCAGACAGGGCAGGATAAGGGATTGCAGACTTCCAAAAGATAACAAAACACACACAGTTGGGAGGACGCCAGAACCCAGATAAGACGCTTTGCTTCCAGCAACTTTGCTGTGTGCGGTTTGCCTTTTTAAACAGTTTTCCCAGCTGCAGCTAATGAAGGGGATCAGGGCCCTTTCCTCCCCCATAAGCCACGCAACTCACATTGCTCCCTTCTCCGTTCCTCCCTGTGTGCCCTAAGATGAAGAAGGGGTGGGCCTGGGTCTTCCTCTGAATGCCCAGCCGGACTGTGCCCTTCCCCAGTTTCTTCCACAGCCACCGGAGCCACACTCCCACTCCCTGTCAGCTGATCCTCCTCTCCCTCGGAGTCAGATTCCAACAGGGGCATGACAGCCCTTCATGATTTCTTCCAACAACCAGTTTGCCGAACTGTGCAGAAAGTTAATGACCGGTTCTCCCAAACTGGTGCGAACCAGCTGAACCCCACAACTGGGAGAGGGTCTTCCCTTCTAGATCATGCCTTTCTTTCGAAGTTTTAAATGCCTTCTGAACCCCTCTTCCCTCCCAAGCCAATCGACTCCCCCGTTCCTTCCTTACAGGGAGCTGGGAAAATATAACCATGTTTTCCAAAACAACAAGATACCCGTATCCTCTATTTTCTGGGCTTATCTCTGGGTCTCAAGCACAGCTGAGTTTATGTGATGCTGTCCAGCTTTGGGGGGGGGGGACTTCTGGGGTGAACGACAGCTGAAGGGTCACCTTCGCTCGTCTGCCACCCACCGCCCCATTTCTCCACTGGGGAGGAGGGAGAAAGAGATTGACCTTTCCCTCTCCCCCTAATTCTCCCCCTAATTCTGAGGGCAGACAAGCCGCTCCGCTCTCTGTTGACGCTCCGAAAAGGTCAACCGGCAGCAGAAGGTGCAAATAAGGGGAGGGGGAGAAGGGAGGGAGTGGGGGGGGGAGCCCTCCACACACACACACACACACACACACACACACACACACACGATCCGCTTTTGATTAATGAAATTACACAACCCACCGCACAACCTCGTTTTGCACCGCTGCCTGCCAAACTCCCCTGGAGGCTTGTTCAGCTTCCTGGGCTCGAAAACACACACAGGTGGCTGAATCCAGGAGCGGATTTCAACACCCTCCCATCCATGCAATTCTCTCTCTCTCTCTCTCTCTCACACACACACACACACACACACACACACACCCCTACGTGCAAACGCACACGCCCAAAGCAGACTCCCTCTGTGTTCCTGTGTGCCACTTACCTGCTGCTCCCAAGCCAACCTCCAGGCTGCTTCGTTTGAACTCACAGCGGTTCTGGGTCTCGGGCATGCCGAGCTGCCGGCTCTGGTTAAGACTGGAGAGGAAAGAGGTGAGATCACCGTTTTGGCTGTGAAGGAGAGAGAGAGAGAGAGAGAGAGAGGGGAGAAAAGGGCTCACATCAGCATCTCCGGGAAGACTTCTCTCCGCTGCACCCCTCCAGGATTTAGCCAAGCCCCTCTGTCGTCTACAAGTTTTCCTTCCCGCTTCTCATCTGCTTTTTGTGTACGTCCCTTCTTTTCGCGCACAAGCCTGTTTTTAATTTCATCGCACAAACCGAATCGTGCATTTAAAAAAGCGAGCTGGGATTTTTTTCTTCTTCTTTTGGCTTCTTAGCTGCCATGTGGATTGGAGATGGAGAGGTTTGGGCTTTCTGGGCCAATTTTTAGGAAGTGGGGAATTGTGCGAAGGTTCCTTTTTTTTTCTTTCTTTCTTTTCTTCCAGCACTCCTCTCTCGTCAAGGAAAATCCACTTGCTGCAAACAAGGGATTGATCTAAAGGCAGCAGAGGAATTGTGGAGGGTGTGTGTGTGTGTGTGTGTGTGTGTGTGTGTGTGTGTGTGTGGATCTGGAGAAGGACGTTCCCCTGTCCAAAAGATTCAATCAATCACCCGATTCTCAGAGAGACATCGACAGAAAAAGGAAGAGGAGAAGACATTTCCAAATTGGTTCCCATCCAGCACTCCACAGAACCATCCACCACGCCGCTTGAGGATGATGGGAACCGTAGTCTAATGGTTCCACCCCTTTTGGATCAACAGAACAATTCACAGGGGGAGGGGGGAAACATGTGACTCACTTGGAAAGGTAGGGGGAAATTGTCGCAGGCCTTATTTCTTTATTTGTTAAACTGATTTACCACCCAACTGCCCAAAATTCTGGGCAGTTTCACATGTAAACCAAAAACATATTTTTAAAAAAACTCTGCGTTTTTAACTATCCACACAGGACGTTTATCCAAATTGTTTTTCCAAGAGCAAAGGTACTTGCAAAGCACAGCCGCAGTTTAATAACTGGGACCCTGGATTTAAGAGGAATTTGCACCGGTCTTTGCATTTTCACAAACCGTGCACAAGATCTGGTTGTTTAAAGGGAATCGACAATAATAAAAAGAAAGAGAAAAACAACATGCACAAGAGCAGACATTCATGGAAATGGTCAGCGCTTAAAATACACACACACACATCACATTCCTCAGTGCTGTCACTCAAATGGCATTCCATGCTCCTGAATACATCGACACTTATTACGATGTTGATTCATCATTTCAGAATCAAGCAGCGTTTTGCTAAAGACCGTCTAAAAACAAAAGAAGTGCAAACTTCCAGGATAAAGGAAGAAGAAAAAAGAAGAAGAAAACCAGGAAGGGAGACTTTTCTGAAGAGGTTAAGGCTTAAGGTTGCACCTTAAAAGTTCCCAAACTTGACAAATCTGAATTAAGACCAGCCCAAATCCGTAGACTGTGAAGTTTTCCAGAACCCCTTCAAGCAGACAAGAAGAGTTGGGGAGGGGGAAAAAGGCAAGGATTTGTAAATTGCAAACCTGTTGCATCCCCAAAATCCAGCCCACAGGCAATTTTACTCACCTGATCCAGAGACAGATGAAAAAGGATACTATCTGGAATAGTACCCTTGGCTGAATACTTTGCAAGTCCTCCTTTCCAAACAGCACATGCACACACACACAACGATAACCCACAATGCTTGTGAGTTACAACACACCCACAAACACACTACGTCCTGACCACAGTTTAAGAGAAAGGGCACTTCACCCTGCATAATCTGTCATCCCCGTACAAAGGGACATCTCAACATTCAGCAGGCAAAAATGTGATTTTCCCCCTCCCCAAAAAGGCCCAACGCACCTGAAGAAGTCACCTGCAGATTCCCACAGGTGTTATTTCCCTCCTTAGCCTCTTCCTTCCCCAACTATCCCAACCACACCACCCCTTTTTCGAACCCAGTGTTAAGGTTGGAAAGCTTACTACGCCCAGCCAGACTAATTCGCAGGTGAGAAGGCAGCTGGCTTATGGATTGATCTGCGTCCCAGAAGGCCAGTAATTCTTAAAGCTTATCGTAGCCTTAGAAGCACCTCGGAGGTGCATTAGGCAAAAAAAAAAAAATGTCTGCAAAGGAGTTTAGAGGATTAATTCGAGGCGATTATCGGTTCCTATTCATCATGCAAATCGATACACCTCTGCATGCAGGACAGTGAAAAGCTGCCATCAACGTAATAGGCCAAGTAGAAGGAGGGAGGGGGATACGTCCATGCATGTGGCTATCCAGCTTAAACTCCCATCCTGGTTGAAAATACTCAAGTGGATTGAAGACAAGAAGGGGTCAAGCTATTGTCCAAAGCACCAAGGCTGGAGAAGAAGCAACAGATGGAAACTAATCAAGGAGAGAAGCAACCTGGAATGAAGGAGAAACTTCGTAATGGAAGACAATTAACCATTAATATTAATAACATTAATAACAATTAATATTCAAAATATTTCTTATTATTTCATAGTCACTTTTTTTTCAGTGCTTGTTGTAACTTTGAACGGTCGCTAAATGAACTGTCGTAAGTCAAGGACTACCAACAGTACCTCTTATAACATATACACCTGCAGGATATTTGGGGGGGGGGGAAACCAACCTGTGCAAATGGGTTTAACATCTGTACTGATTATCCCAATTAATGGGAATGGCTACCTTTATAGGTAAGACGTAAGGGTATGACGATTCGTTTAATGACCGTTCCAAGTTACAGTGGCACTGAAACAAAGTGATGTCAGCTTTGGAAGCCATATTGGCACCAGACGCTTCCACGCTGCCGCATTCTTGAGCCTGGGAAAATGGGAGGGGGTAATTTCTTGGAGCTATATGTTTAGACATAATAGCATTCTTTTTCTAAGTCAAGGTCATGTTATTTCTGCACCTGGGTGAGGGGACGACTCAAGCTGGAATGGATGGTGATTGGAGCATGTGATGCGATGATGGGTACAGGGGGTGCATTTGTAGTTTTTTTTACTTATTGCAAGGAAACTCAGAACTTTCAGAATCGGGATTTCCCAGATGGGCCAGTTTACTACCCAAATAAAAAAAGAACTTTTGAAAGAATGTCTGTCTCGGAGTTATTGGTTGGGGTGGAGGTTTTCTGGAACACTGACATGTGACGCGCTTACAAAACCTTTCAGTCGTGTGAAACCCCGAGAAGAAGAAGAAGAAGAAGAAAAAAACTAGGACTAAAACAGCTTTTAACAAACATCTCCAGTTTGGAAGGGGCCCCAGAGGTCCAGTAGTGTGGGAAGCGGTGGGGGCCACGATTGACCAGATGCCCTTGGTGGAGTGGGGTGGGGAGTGAAACCCCCGTGCCTTCCTTCCCCTCTTGGCCACCAACATCTGTGCCTAGCCAACAGCTGGATGAGACTTAATAGGGTCTGTTTCTGGTTTTCCTTCCAGGATGCCCTGCAAAGTTTGGGCCAACTTTTGATTGTTGTAAACCTTGGCTGTTTTTCCTACGCTGTTTATGTTTTATTCCCCCCGGGCACCCGCCCAATGGGAACGGGTCCAAGGGTTCTTGAACTTTCCCGGCAAGGGGAGTTTGGAGTCCTTTCATCCCCGCCAAAGAAGGAACACCCCTCCCCCCCCCTTCCATCCTCCCCCTTGTGTGAATCCCAGTAATTCAAAGCAGAGCTTGGAGGACAGGACTCCACAGAAAAACCCTGTAAGAGACGCAGTGCAAGGTCAGCGTCTCTGCCGGGGAGGTAAGACCACGGCTTCTGAGTCAGCCAAAAGCAAGGAAGGAGATCCGACAGACAGCAGCTGACAGCTCCTTGATCCGAGCCCCCTCCTTCCCTCCCTCCTCCTCCGAGCCCCCACACCTACCCCTCAGCACAACAAATGCTTTGCCTTCCTCTTCCCGTGATTGGCAAGTCAGTGGCAGGCAAAACAGGCCAGAGAGGATGAATTGTTCTGATCAAGGCTTCCCGAGACCATAATTAAGCGCATGCTTAGTTAAAACAACTTTGGTTTTATTTCAACGCTGGGAATTATGTGCATTCCCAGCCTGTAATGAGTCCCAAACAGTCCCCTGAGATAAGCACCCACCTTTCTTCTCCTTTGAATTGCTGCCAACAACTAAAGTGCCAAATAAACTGTAAAAAGCAACCGGAATACAAAGTCCACACAGAGCTTCAAGATTGAGTTCGAACAGAGTGAACGACTTTGCTTCCCGCAAATGACTTAATGACCAAGTTGCCAGGCCCAGTTCTCGTCGCTAAATGAGGACTACCTCTATCAGCTCACATTATAGGAAACGGCGAGGTGGCCTAGTGGTGAAGATGCTCACCTCCCATTCAGAAGGTTGAGAGTTCAATCCTAGGTAGCAATCCTAGAGAGAGAAGAGAAAATATCTGCTGTGAACTCCGGATAGGCGTCGGGAAGAGCAGCTGGCCAGTGAATACTCAGCTCCATCCAGTCACTCTGACTGTGCCCTGAATTAAGGGATTCCAGGGTCGACTGGAATGGTAGAAGGACTCATGCTTGAACAGGGGGTTGGACTAGAAGACCTCCAAAGTTCCTTCCAGGTCTGTTATTCTATATTTTGAGGTGGTTTTTTTTAATATACTGTGTATTGTTTTTGAGCAAGTGAGGATTTCCTTCCTTCCACAAGAGGCAATGGAGCGTTTTTACAAGAGAACACCACTCATCGCTTAAAAAGAAGAGGCATGCTTTGAGTTACACTAACACAACAGCCATGTGTGTTAACTTCAAAGCCCTGGGAAAGGAAAGAAGGAAGAATTGCGGCAACAGACCTAAAAAGATAACAATCTTTTCTTCTTTCAGGAAACAGAGGAGGAGGGGGGAGAAATAGAAGCCATTTCACTTGTTACTAAGATTTGATGCCAAGCGGAGGAAGAAACCAGCTCGTTCCTAATTAAGATTTTATTTTTCATCAAGGACGGCAGAGATAGGGACCCCAAGGAGGGGGTTAGACGGCACAAGGACAACAAACAAAGGAAATTAAGAGAGGCAGATCAAAGAAAAAATAAAGGGAAGAAGGCAGATTTTAAAATCACACACACACACACCCTTCAAAAGGTGCCTGTTGTGGACTGCTGGCAACCTGCGAAGACAGCAGCAGAGTCAGACAGTGGGGAGGGACATGGGCTAGTCCGGGAATCGGATGAGGGTCCTGCATCCGATGCAGTGATGGGGCCAGGGCCATCTGCTGACTCCGGAGCCTCCAGAATCTGACAGCAGCGAGGCAGAGGAACAAGGGGAGCCTGTTCCCACTGTGCGTATGCACAGAGCTGCCAGAAGGCAAAAACAGTTAAGACAAAAGGGGCGACTCGCGAGTAAGGCTTGGAGGTGATTGGCACTCCCATAAGACATAAAGGAGGAGCAAAGGGACAGGAATCTTTGCAGGAAGCAACTTTGTTTGTACTCCCAGAACCTCCCAGAAATCTGGATATTTCAGCCCATTTTGGAAATGATTGTCAGATGTACCGTCGGGATTTCACTTCACCTTTCTTCATGACCGAGTTGCCATTGTGGACGCTAAATGAGGACTATCTGTATTCCTACTCTAGGGGCCCCCAATCTCTTTGTCGGGTTCCTCGTGACTTCTAAACAACATTCACACCTAAGCTGGTCACAAACGAGGATGGGAAGCGATCGTGGTTTGGCAGGCAGGATTCAAAACCAAGTTAAATTGCACGACAATGAGATGGAGCCAGCTTGATGCCAGGGAAAACGCAATCCTTTTCTCTTTGAAGAGGTCTACCTTGTGCCAACCTATCTGCAGAAAACTCTACACACACAAACTCACACACACAAACACATCCACGAGAAAGAAAAGATTCAGAAAAGATTCCAAGCTTGATTGAGGACGGTTGCTCCTATTTAAGGCATGAAATATTAAATACTAGCTCGATACCCAGCCGATGATAACTGGACATTGGGGACCAAGTTGGAGGAATTAAAGGGACTTTACCTACTTTTGTGACTTTATTTGCTTTTGTGCCACGCCCCTTTGGTTCATCACAACCAAGGTCTTGCCGATGGTGGAAATTTTCCGCTCACTTTTGGTCGTAAAGAGGACTGCCTGGAAAGTGGGGGGGAGAAATCCCATGATTTACACACACACACACACACACACACACACACACACACAGCACACACTTTCAAAGCGCCCTGTCAGCTGCATGTAAAACCAGTTTCACGATCAAGATTCGACATCAAAGCCTTGGAGGTTGTCATCCAACACATTTTTATGTCTTTTTATATATATATATTTTTTTTTTTGCCCGCTGGGAAAACCCACACGCCCATTCATCCCCGTGGCAATCATTCCCATCCACCGCGCCGGATAATTAAACACCCATCTTTATACAAATGAATAGGTAAGAAATGAAATTAAATCCCAATTATCTTCTATCTCTTTTCTCCCCCTCCCGTAGGCAGCAGCTTTGCATATTCCTTCCCACCCCCCCATTCCCCTGGCCCTGCAAAGCTCAACCAACCAACCAACCAAACCCCCTCCGCTCTGCATTTTTCAAGTTTCTATGGTGTTATCTCCAATTAGATTTCCGAGACAAAACCCGTGCCTCGCTGCAGCGGGGTTATTCATTCAATTGAAATCAAATTACTAATAATTTGCAAGCTATCGGGGCTGCCTGGTGGAGGTGGGGTAGACAGGGGGCAAAAGAGGTCTCCTTTATAAATTACTAATAATTAAAAGAGAGAAAGAGGCAGGCAGGGGACGTTCCAAGCAAGCGGACGTGGCATCGTCTTCCATTTTAACCTTCTCAGCTGCTCGTCCTCTTAACGCACCATCCGAGGGCGAAGAGTTTAATAAGGTGACCCAGATGGGTCCTTCAACCTCACAGCTGAGCTCTTCCTCCTCCAAGCTCAGGGGGGGACAGGGGGGGAGAAAAAGGGGGGGGGGGGGGGAACCAAGATCTGCTAAGAAAACAGGCTGGCTTGGAATGACATCATCATCACCAACCCTACATTTTGGGGGAGGGGGGGAACTGTTATGACCTAGGTTTTCCCAAAAGCATGAAGCCAACTCCTCGTCCCGATAAAACCCCTTTTATTTAGTTTCCAGTGAATTCTCTCCAGCAAAGCCCTGGACAACAACAATCTTTCAAGAGATTTCACTACTACAGAACTTTATCAGGCTTGGAGAGTTGCCAGGCCGATGTCTTCCAAACGCCACTCTGTGACAGACAATACTGGCCAAGAATGCAGAAACAGACCCTGATACAAAGTGCCCCACCAACACTGAGGTAAACATCCAAGCCGTCGCCGCCCGCCTGCCCGAAGATGCAAGGGGGGAGGAATTAAGTCACCCCCAAAAAGACGGCCTAGCCATTTTTGGGGGGGGCTCAAAAAAAAAAAAAAAGACCCGGCCTTATTATATGAGAAACATGGTACATAGGTAGATAGGTAAGTAGGTAGGTAAGTAGATAGACAGATGATAGATAGAGTAGGGAGATAGATATAGATAGATAGATGGATGGATAGATGCAGTAGATAGATAGAAAGATACAGTACATAGAGAGATACAGTAGATAGATACAGTAGATAAATAGAAAGAAAAATAGATACAGTAGATAGCTAGATAGATGATAGATAGATAGATAGATAGATAGATAGATAGATAGATGATAAATAGATAGATACCGGTAGGTAGGTAGGTTGGTAGGTAGAGATAAAAGATGGATAGATTAGATAGAGATAGGTAGAGATAGATAGATATACATATATACACGCATATATACCTGTTTTTCTATATTTTTGCTCTTTTTCTCCTCCTCTCCCCCCCCTTTGTTCACTTTTAATGAAACACACACACACACACACACACACACACACACACACCAACAAAAGAGGCCAGACTGACTGACTCAGGAGTAAAGAGAATTGGAAACAAGGCGTTGTCACTTCATCAAAAACCTGGAGAAAACAGGACCTCACAAACTCAGTGGAAATCCGTCCTGAACAAGATGGGACTGAGGCAGATGGGGCTGTGTGTGTGTGTGTGTGTGTGTGTGTGTGTTGAAACACAATCAATTAAAGAGGCGAACAGCCACAACTCTCTGAGGGACATCAAAACCAGTTCAGGGTTGTGAAATGCTAATTTGGACAGGATGACAATTCCCTAACCCTTGAAGCTTTCGTGCAAAGCCGGCAATTTTACTATTAGAAAATTGGACCCCACGCTTTCCCCGCATCCCCAGGCCAAACAGCAAGAAAACGTGGGGGCGGGCTAAAAGATGCAGAGGTCCTACCCTTCCCCTCCTCAAAATAACACACCCATCCAAGGAGAGAGGGTGCCAAAATATCTCAGATGCACCCTTGAATCTTCTTTTAAACCTAGCCATCAAAACGGTGCTGTATCTTTCACCCCCATCTTCTCACATCTATTTATTAAATGTATACACCCGCAAAAATAAAAGTGACCAGCATGGCATTTCCTAGCAGAGCAGAAAGAGAGGAAGGAAAAAAATAAAACTGTTCACCAGGATCTTCAAATGTATGTTTCTTGTTTGGTTTTAATTCCGCTTCTACGCTGGAGGAGCGTGCGGGAATAGAGGACACGCCAGTGGCACCATGCCACCTGTGGCTCCATCCAGATCTCAGGCCGGGAAATTTCAGCAAACATCAGGTACTGATTGTTGCCAGAGACCCAAAAGAGCTGGCAACCTCTCGTTTTTATCTACCCCCCCCTTTTTTTTTTGGCTTGGGGCAGACGGTGCCACTCCAATCCGCCTTCAATGCTCCCTTTCATGTTGCTGGCCTCAGTCTCTTTTGGCGGTTTCTACCCACATCGCATCGGTGGCAAACCTGGCCAAGCCTTCCGATTAGCCTATGCAACATCTCCCAGGTTTATAGCAAAATGGGTTGTTACAGCAAAACGGTAGCACAAATGGTCATTACGATGAGGATTGCCTACACAATTGTGTTTTTTTTTAGGGGGGGGAGGGAAAAAAGAAGAAAGAACACCCGCCTACCTTCTTTTCATGATACTAATATGCAAGTCCTCTTCCTGTTTGACATGAGGGTGATGCCCGTTGATTTTTTCCACCTCCTTGTGGTTGTCGCTGTGTGAGAAAAGAGCAGGGGGCTCCTTTTTTGGAGTTCGAGAGGGAGGCAGGGGGATTGTCCTCTTCTCCGCCAAACGCCCCCGATTCTGGAAAAGCGGAAGGAAAAAGAGAGAAGATAAATAAAAATGTTGGGACAGCAACACGAAAATGTACGCATTTCTTTAAAAGATGCAACATTGAAGCGTCCGCTAATCCAAAAATTATTTTCAGAGCTCCGAAGAGGGAGAGAGCAGTAGAGGAAGAATAAAGCAGGCACAGAAGGAATAAGCAACGGCATTACCCGTTGACTTTTAAAGATGCCACCCCGGGAAATATTTTGCACCATCTTGCACTGGATGTTTTGCTACACGTGTCTGTGATCTTGTTCTGACTTACGCTTCCCCAAGATCATGAAGCCGACTCCTCGTCCCGATAAAACCCCTTTTATTTAGGTTAAAGTGAATTCCTCTCCAGCAAAGTCCCGGCCAACAGTCTTTCAAGAAAGTTCACAACTACAGACCTTTATCAGGCTTGGAGAGCTGCCAGGCCGGTATCTTCCAAACTCCACTCTGTAGCAGCAATTACTTGGCAAGGAGTCAGGAACCTTCACCCTAATGAATGGAACTAATTGTCTCCTGCAAACACCGCTCCCCTTTCACTCCTCTTTATTCCCTATGGGAGGGGCCATTCACCGTCCACCTGAGCCTTTACTCCCGAGTCGGCCCTTGTTCCTTAACTGTTTCCTTCTTCTGGCAGCTCTGTGCATGCGCACACTGGGAACAGGCTCCAGCTGCTCTTCTTCCCCACTGATCTCCAACTCTGAAGGCAGCTGATAACTGTCAGATGGCCTTGGCCCCATCTCTGCCTCCGACACAGAGCCCTTGTCAGAGCCTTCCCCAGACTCCAGGAATGGCCCATGCGCCTCCCCAACCTTTTCACTGGCCAAGTCCGCCACCAGCTCTGCTGGCCCCTGACGGGCCACAACAGGTATCTCAGAATCTCATTTCTGCTGTTTCAGGTGAGAAGTTTGAATGCCTATCCCCGCAGCTCCAGAGATAAAGTGCATGCTATCTTACAAACTGCCATTTATTACTGCAACTAGAGACAATCACATGCCAGCTGCCAACGTCGGACAACTGAGAGACTTGACCGGCTCATAAAAAGCATTTCATTGTTCCCTTCTCTTTCTCCCTTTTTGGCAGAAAAATAAGGAAGTCAAAAAGCCAACAACGGTAGCTGTATCGTATCTTGACCTTGAAAAGTCTATCCACAGTCCGCCTACCTCTGTCTCTCTCCAATGCGTTTGCACAAATCATGGTTTTTTTTCCCCGCAACAGGGAAAGAAAACAACAATTTCTCTCTTGAAATTCCATCAAATTGAAGGCAAATGATAGGAGACGAAAACACTATACGTGAACAATTAAACCCCTCCAACGAAGCTCCCACCCGCTCCCTAAAATCTGATTATTTTGCAGTGCACAATTTGGGTGGGGGAAATAGAAAGGAGGCCTTGAGATGGGAAAACGAGAGGGGGGGGGAAAAACCTGAAGCAGGTTCTCGAAGGAGGTTGAGGGATATCTACGGTCTGGTTGGGAGATAGAACAAGTGCCAGAAAATGCAGACTAATCCCTCCCAGTAGAACCATGACGAGCGTTTAATTGATCCCAGAGACAGGGCAGCCTTGGAAGAAGCCGAATCTGCAACGTGTGTGGGGCAGAAGGAAGCAGAGAGGAAAACCTCACGGAGCTGAAGAGATGGAAA